CAAGAAGTGAGGTCAGAGAAGTAAAGGAGTGGTACAGTTAGGGGGCAGGTGTGGCGTGATAGACCACTTTTAAGAATTTTGGCTTTTGAGTGAAAGAGAAACCACCCCACTTCTCCCACCAAATCTTGCCTAATTGATGTTTCCCTAAATAACTCTTAAAAGGGCACTATGTAGTTTTTTAAGCAAAGAAAGAGTGAAACTATGTATCCCTGATTCTACCTTTTTTTGCAATAGATTCTGAAGGAAGGAACTGCCACGTATAAAAATAGGTTAAAAACAAAGAAAAAGAGTTTACACACATAAGCAAACATCTGAGGGAGCAACTTTACACAAAAACATAGGGCTGTAGGTGACTTTCTTACACAATCAGTCCACATGGTTACTCTTCCAATCTATTAAGCTAGGGTTAATGACAACAGTAAAAATTTCATATTTTTCACAGAAAATAGTTATGAATACATAGATTTTTTAAAATATTATTAGCATTTCACATGATCACATAACGTAAAATGTGTAGATGAGTAAGATCACTGAATAAAATAAAAGTAATTTTCCCCCCAAGTAAGCCAATGCATAATCAAGTAACTTCAAAACTTTTCTTTATCTTAGTAAATACAACTCCTTCTCCTAAAGCAACACTATCTTTAATTATAACTTATTTGTGAACCGTTAGAAAAATGACAATCAATTCAGGGTCTCTAAGCTCTACAAATATTAATCAAGGTCCTCTAACAAAGAGGCAACCTCTGGAAACATGCAGTTTAGGCCAGCTTCAGAGTAAAAGAATATTCTCTATTCACAGTAAGGTCAGATGGAGTTTACCCAGAAGCTCTGATGTCTTCTTTTCAATAGACACACAATGAGCTCAAATAGGAAAATTGAAAGATGACTTCTTTTAGATGTAAGGTAATCACAATTTGTTCACAATGTAGTGCAGTGTCTCAACTATGCTGCTATCACTTTACAATAAAACTACTATATGAGGTGTTTATGACAACGGAATGAAAAGCAATCAGTATGAACCTCTTATGACTATCTGTATCTCTCACGTTTTATGACTGCCGCTTGAAGGTCTCTGATTAGATATTAGAAAGACTTTCTGACAATGAGGGTACTAAAAATGAGTTACTAACAAAGGTTATAAAAACATCTTGAAGATCTTTCAGGAAAAGCATGAATGTTCACCCTCAGGGATGATTTGGCACTGTCTTACATGAAAGGAGAAATAGAAAGCAGAAAACTCTTTAGGCCTCATTAATCTCTGTTATTCTTTAAACTAAAAAGGCTTTTACTTCTTCTTCTTTTTTTTTTTTGCCCTAGAATTATGGTTCTCTATAACCATCCCCCTCCTTCTGCTAAATATGAAATTTCAAATTTGCTGTGACATAAGAAATAAATATGTATTCTATGTGCTTTATCATCAAAATAATGTTTAATATTGAATAAAAACTAATTTGAAATTGTTTTAAAGCAAAATCCTCAAGGCCCTGCCTAAATTAGGTGAAGAAATAGTATCACTTATCAGCTACTAGCTTAGGTATATATGTTTTGTTAACCTGTTACCTAGATGAGGTGGTTTATCTTTCACGCAAAATGTGATCTGTGTACTTATGTCTGCAACTCCCTTGGAAATGCATCAGAATAATAACAGCAGTTGATGGCTTGGTGGATATGTGATCAAGTAAATCAGCAAAATGTTAAAACTGTAGAACCTAGGAGGTGGCTACACATATATTTATTGTAAAATTGTTTCGACTTTTCTGTACGTTTGAAATTTTTAATGATAAACTGTTGGGGAAATGCAATTATATTTGAAAACTGTTTTAAATAGCAAGGGAGAAACATCCAAATTACACAGAATAATTCTGCAAAAAAGATTAGGCAAGCCTTATACGTGTTGAGTCAGGGAGCAAAAAAGGTTGCTGTAACACCTGTACTTTATCTGCCTCCAGAAAAGTCCTCCAAATTCACTCTCTATTGAGATAAGAAGGCAGGCAGAAAGGTGTGTTTAAAAATTCTATAGTGAAACTAAATTCCTCTGACTGAGTTTTGAAAAGTAAAAACTGAAATTATTTCTGTATCTAAAAAATACAGTATTTCTTCACCTACCCAGACTAACTTCATTTTCAATATAGATTTCTTGAAAGGAAATAAAGTGTAACTTCATTTGGATTACTCATTATTCTCTTTGGCAATGTCCTTTCCCTGTGAAACTACCTGAAATTATTCAAAGAAAACTGAAAACTAAAACACGTTAAGAAATGATCAATACCAACCAAATTTACCAACCAAATAGTGTGTATATGAAGTACATGTGACATGTGTCATAAGCCTTTCAACATACACTTTTTTTTTCCGATAGGTTCAGTTCAGTGATCAACACAAATAACTTTCTAAAGTGTCACAAGCAAGGCGTATTTATGTTTGATAATTCCATCGATGATTTCTTTGGTAGTTATCGAAAACATACCACTCCCTGCGTTTCATAAAGATAGAAAGCCATCATAACTCAAAGAAATTGCTCAGCTAGCAGTGGGTAATGACTTATTTAACAAAGATTTACTGAATACCTACTGTGTGCCAGACACTGTGCTTAGCCTTAGAGATGAGAATATGAATAAAATACAGTCCCTGACTGCATGAAATTGATGGTTTGGTAAAGAAGACCTACAAATGGATAACTGCAAAACACTTAAATTGACCGATAAGCACATACATGGAGTGTTACTGTAATAAAAGGAGATACCTAACCTGGTGTAGGGATCTTTGGGACTGCTTCCTGAGTTTAGTCTTAAAGAATGAGTAGCAAACAGCAAGTCCTACCGGACAGCACAGAGAACTATACTCTGTATCTTGTAATAAACTATAATGAAAAAGAATATGAAAAACAATGTATACGTATAACGGAATCACTATGCTATACATCAGAAACTAGGACAATATTGTAAATCAACTATATATCAATTAAAAAAAAAGAATGAGTAGCAGTGGTTTAGGCAGGAGAATAAGGGAGTGGGTATTACATGCTGAAGTGGCCACCTGTGTGGGATATGTTAAGGAACCTGGACTTTCTCTTGGCCTCAAAAGGATTTAGAAGGGGAGTGATATTTTCAGATTGTATCTTAGCTAGATCTCCTTGGCTCTTGAGAGAAGGATGAATGTGAGGGAGAAGAGACCATGGTGCAGCTGCAGGAGCGACATAATGAGGACCTGAAATAAGACTGTGATGGTAAATATGGTTTCTATTGAGAAAGACCAGCAGATTGTCAGATTAAACGTGGGGTGATTTCCACGTGTCTGGCTTGGGTAAGAGTCCATAGATGACAATGCCTTCCAATCAAAGTAGGTAATACAGAAGGGAAGGCCAAACTGAAAGGGGAAAATGATGGATTCCGCTTTGGATGTGTTGGATTTGATATGCCTCTGTGTTATCTAGAAGATTTCCAGCAGAAAGTTAAATATAGGATGCCAAGGGGGTGGACTGAATGGGAGGTTGAAATTTGAATCAGCAGAATATCAGAGATACCTGAAATAATGAAGAGTGAATATTCAGCGTTTGTTTTTAATTTTAACCATTCTACTAGGTGTGAAGTAAGAGTTCATCATGGTTTTAATTTTTATTTCCCTAATGTTTAATGACGTTTGGCATCTTTTCTGCTTGCTATTCATGTATCTATGTTAGTTCGAATTATTTTCCCATTTAAAAATATTAAATTGCTTTCTTATTATTGTGTTTTGAGTTTTTTTAATATATATTCTTGATGTAACTCCTTTATCAAATACATGTTTTGAAAATACTTTCTCCCAGTGTGTGGCTTCACAGTGTTTTCTGAAGACCATATTTTTTATTTTGTTGAAGTACAATTTTTTTCTTTTTTTTTTTCTACATAATGCTTTTGGTGTTGTACCTAAGAAATCTTGGTCTAAGTGAGGTCGCAAATATTTTTCTCCTGTTTTCTTCTGGAAGAAAGTTTTAAGTTTTCCATTTACACTTATGATACATTTTGAGTTTATTTTTATTTATTGTGTGAGGAACGGATGGATATGAGAGAGGACAGAACCGATCATTAAGAGTGTAGAATGAGAAGGCCAAAGAGTGGACGGAATTCGGGGAGAAAAGATAAAGCCAAGGCTAAAGGAAGAGGAGTTGGGCAAAAAAGATACTAAGCATTGTCGGAGAAGTACAAGGAAAATTCTGAATAATCAACACCGTCAACTAAGATAAGCAAAGGAAACTATCTTTTTAACTTGGATGAGGTCATTAGTGACCTTAGGAAGAGGATATTCAGTCAAAGCAAATCATTTCGACACTGGAAAACGTAACAAACCACTTTATAAGAATTCCCCCTGTGGAAGCTCTGGGGAGAGGTCTGAAATCCCTGAGCATTCTTAAAGTTCACTTCTCTAGGCACAGGCGGGTTTGGGCTTCCCGACAGAGGATGACTGAGGCAGATTCCAGTCACGCCCCTTGGGGCCCTCCAGAATGAAGTCTTAGAGATAAACCCGAGGAATCACTGCCCCCCTGGGAAATCAGAACCAACACTCAACACCAGGTTTGCCAAGCTGACACCTCACCAGGGAGGCAGCTGGCTACACTGCAGGCGAAAGAAAAGGCGAGGATGGGAATGTATGCACTTGGGCAATCCCAGGGAAGATTAGGGAAATCCCTTCCACCCGCCACCCCCTCGAGTGTCTGGCGGAGGAGAGGGGAAGGGCGTGGGGCCGGCTCTCCGCGGGCGAAGAGCTCCCGCACTTACCCGGTCCCGGGCTGGGGATGTTTAAGGCACAGGCTAGGGGAATCGTGGGCAGGCCTCTTCCCTTCCCAAGAGCCATGCTGGGGGCACTGGACGGACTCCCCTCGGCCGGCTGTCCCGTCGCCTCCCGCCCCTGCAGCCTGCAGGTCACCCTAAGTCCAGGAGGGACTGGGTCTTCCCGCCAGAAGCCGCCAGCTGCCATCCCTTCCAGCTAGTCGTAAAGTGCAGTAAAGCGCCGGCGCTTTACGGCACCGTAGGTGAGGCCGGCGGCGTGGATCCTCGGTGGGCGCAAGTCGTCCGCGTAGGCAGCAGCTTGCAAACGACCGCGGCGGTTGGGAATTTGGGGCGGACAGGGACCCAGCTACAATTCTCTCGACGGGTAATTGTCCGTTCCGAGGTTTGTGTAACAAGAGAGAAAGCGGGTAGGGCTGTTTAAAAGCACTCCAATCCTTAATTAAGAGGAGTGCAGTAAGGTTCTTAAACCTCACTGCCTGTGACATGCCGTCCTTCCTCGTGCTACTTTGGTTTTCATCTTGTTCATCACTAGATTTTAGGTATCCTCCGTGTCACTTGATTTTTTGTTGTTGTTGTTCATCTCGTCCTGCAGTCACCCCCCTCCTGAACTTTGAAATGCTTTACCTGATCGGTTTGGGCCTGGGAGATGCCAAGGACATCACAGTCAAGGGCCTGGAAGTTGTAAGAGGCTGCAGCCGAGTGTATCTGGAAGCCTATACCTCAGTCCTGACTGTAGGGAAGGAAGCCCTGGTAGGTGCTTAAGGCTCTGCAGCCTGCTGGGACGAACGATTATCTAACAGCAGATTTTTTATTACGTTAAGCTAAATTGAAAATGTAGGTCTGTTCGAAACCTTTAAAACACATCCCCAGCTCATTAAGAATTTGAGGAGAACAAGAATGAAAATCATACACCACGTGACTTGGAAAATGGAAGAGTGCTTTTTCTTATTTTACAAGTTTAATTGTGTGGCTTTCTCCAATAAATAGGAAAGTTATTTTATACTCCTGGGGATAGTTATCAGAATCCCTTATTTCATGAGATAGCCAAGAAGTCCTTTCTGAGTTGACTGCTAATGAGGTGCTGACACAGCCTTAATGAGTTGGTTATGCATTCAGGAACCAAGCTGAAAGCTTATCCCTTTGAAGTATTTCCATAGGGAATCGTAATCGCTTTTATGTCTGTATCTTATCCAGAGAGATCTCACCTTTAATTAGACATCTCCCAGTAAGGCTTATACCCATACGCTTGGGTGTGTTGAGTGAGCCTGGGACTTAGTAGCCATAGAATTTGCTAGTATGTCATACATTTAGCTGGTTCTGGTTTAAAGGCTCAGATTTTGGAGAAGGGGTCAAATTCAGGTTCATTGTCAAATTTCAAGTAGACTGTAAATTAAGATGAAAAGATGGATAGACATGTTATAGGAGGAGGGAAAGGATTTTAGAATTGTCTGGTCTACCAAGTATTCCAAAGAAAAAGGTGACCTAGAGAATTTCAGGTCTTCTGGCCTCTCAGATTCACAGTCCAGGGAATTCTGAAGGTCTCAGAGTTACTTTAAAACCTTAAAGAAGGACTGCTACTTGAATTGGCCATGCATTGAAATAAAAGCTGTGTCTAATGACCAGCTTTGATTTGTTGGCTCCAGTTTATTAGGATGGAGCCAGAGTATCTGAGTTCAAGATGATAGGAATGTTCCTCTCTAATTAGTGATCAAGGACGATTAGAATGTACTTAAATCTTCTTGAAGAATAAAGACAAATCAGTAGTTTTATAGAATTGGACCTGGCTTTTAAGTCTTTGCTCTGTCACATGATAACGTGACCTAAGATAAGCCTTTCTTAGTTTCTTACTATCTAAAGAGGACAGAAATGCCTACTTTATAGGTTCTTAGCATAGTGTCTGTCACAAAAGTATTTATAAATATGAGTTGTTAATAGATTCATTTCCAAACTTCTCTAAACCTCAATATCTTCATTTGTCAAATGGAGATAATAGACAATAAATGTGTCATTTATTAAGATGATTATATTTGAAAGTATTTTGCAAATTTAAGTGCTAGCTAAATGTTAATTCTGATTGCTATGACTTTTCTAAGTATTTCTTTTTCTAAAAACAATTGGAGAGACCAGAGAGGACAGGAAAGAACTCTGCATTGAGAAAAATGAGGCCATCACCTATTAACCTTTATCAACATCCTGTTTATCCTTACTCTAAATCTGAATCTGTCCTCCCTCCAGTCTTAGAAAATGACTGAGAAAGATGAGGTTCTCTTCCTTTTCAAGTGTAATGCCATCTAGATGTTTTTTCCCACACTTCTTCCTCTCTATTCCTCTAGAACCTTACTTTCATCAGTTACTCTTTCTTCTTTATGTTTGATCTGTATTAACATCCTTCTCTTAGCCTGAAACCATATTCAAACACAGTTGACCCTTGAACAACTTGGGTTTGAACTGCACAGATCCACTCATATGTGGATTTTTTTCAATAAGTAAATAATACAGTACTGTTTGATTCAAGGTATGTTGAATCGCAGATATAGAGGACCCATGGGTATGAAGGGCTGATTGTAAAGTATACTGGAATTTTTGACTTGAAGGAGAGTGGGCACCCCAACTTGTTCAAGGGTCAACTGCATTATCCATTCTCAAAGCTCTCCTCTTTTAAACCTCTTTTTCCCATAGTTATTATTTCTATCTCTTCTTTTTCCAAAGCTTTTTGAAAAGTATACTTTTATTGTCCCCCACTTCTGCTCATGTCTCAAGACTCCTACAACTGGATCTTCCCTTCCTCTGAAATAGTAGCTGAGAACTCCAGAGGATAGTTTTGAATTCACGTCTGGTGTTTCTGACATAGTTGGCTACTCCTTGAAACTGGCTTTCAAGACATGACTTGACTTTCTCTTGTTTTGCGCCTACTTTTCCATTTTTCTCAGTCCCCTTTGTAAGCTCCGTATTTCTCCATTCCTGCTTTAAATGTTAGTGTTTTTGTTTTGTTTTTAAGATTTTGCTCTCACCTTTGTTTTCATATGTTACTTTGAGCCTAATAGTCTTCTACATTTTGACAAGGTAATATGTTAAGCAGTTTGAAATTCAAAAGATACTAAAAGGTATATACATCAAAAGATTTCTATCCCAATTCTTCTTTCTAGAGGCAGTCATTACTAATTTCTTGTGTATCCTTTCAGAAATACCCACAGTATTTTTAGCTTTTAGTTTTTACCCTCTTCCCTGTATACAAAACCCGTCAACTTAAAACCAAGAATGAATTTTGAGTTTTACCTTCATTTTCATGAATGGAGATTAGGGCTGAGATTATACAAAAACTGTCTAATCAGTCATTGGATAATAATATAGTATCAGTTTAATATCATTTGTTGCTTTTTTTTTTTTTTTCAGTTTTCCTTCCCTAACCTTGACTAGCTTCAATGTTCTTATAGCATGTATAATGTGGTGGTTAATTCCCCACTAAGCATTATGCTCCGTAGGGCAGTGGTCACATACTCACATTCACATTCACCACTGTTTCCCAACATCATGCATAGAGTTTGGCACAGAGGTTGTGCACAAGAAATACTTTTCAGATGAGTGAGTGAACAAATAAATAATCAAATGGTTAAGTTAAAAATAGTGTAGTACCAGTCTCTTATTGCTTTTGCAATCTCTTCCCTTTTCTAAGCATTCTATTTCAAAAGGACCAACCATTTGGTTATACTGAAGTATTTATGTTTCTCTTTAAGGAAAATTTTTTTTTAAAAAAGTAAATATTCTGTTGTCTCAGTTAGATAATGAAGTATTCCTTGGGTTAGGATAAGTCATAAATATGGAAAAATACATGATAGACGTCTTGAGGAGAGAGTGGGTTTTCTGTTGTTAAATCATTTATAAAATATTGGATAGGATTCCTGTTAGCATTAAGCTAGTGACTCCCTGATCTTTAGGAAATGTTACAAGTTCCGAAAAAACATCATTTCTTCCAGTTTTCAGTAATCATATGTGTTTTCTCTTACATAATGTGAATATAAATATTCTACAACTATTAAGTTTACTGGGCTCACAAAATTAAAGTATGGTATATGAAAATGAACGATTAGGAAAAAATACGTGGTAAAAGTGGAAATAAAACTTTTTTCTTCTATTGAAACATCATTGTCCTTTAGGAGTTCTGGAACATTATTCAAAAAAGATATGCAAAGAAAAGGAAAGGACCTTTTTTCACATTTGAAGAACAGATTCTTGTTAAGTATTAGGAAAAAATTATCAGAGTTGAAACTATAGCCTTTACCTTCAAATGCTTAATCATTTGTTCATTTACTCATTCACTTGATAAATATGATTGAGTAGCACATGCTCTTCCATTATAGCAATACTTTTTTGACATATGATATAATCCTTATATAAACTTCTCAGTATGTAATAAATAGTATTATTCATCTGTGTGTCACTTTTACTATATTTGGATTATATACTGCTCCATAGGAAATCAGTTATAAGATTCATGATCTTGCATAATAGCTGTAACCACTCCCACATGACCACCAGCACACTAGCTCACTGTTACATGCTGCTGTTCCAGTTAAGGTCAGCCTCCTGAGTTTGTTCTTTAGGGTTGAGCTTCTGGGGATTAGTTCACAAAGCAGTTTATGTGGAGACTTCCTATATATTTAGAATTGTTTTTTTTCTCTTGCAACTCTGCCTTTTTTTAGCAGGAACTAGGAAATAGAGTTTTAAATTAGTCTTTCCTGCGATTATAAAGGAATGTTTGCCAGTTCTGTAAACAGCTAAATCTTAATTTTCTATTATTTCTCATTGAAATTACCTTTTATTTTAGATAATCGTTCCTAAGGAAAATTTAATAAAACCCAACTATGATGTATATTTATAATTATTATTTAATATATTTATTCTGCATTAATCTGTTTCTGAAGTAAGGTGTATGCATACATGTTCTCTGTTCATCCTACAATGTTCTGCCTGGTCTGTTGGACCCAAATTTAGAGGTTAATTTAAAATGCAAAAAGCCTCAGATGTTAGGAGGTCTGCCTCCTCTTGGGATATTAAGATAGCCACAGAGACGGAGTTTAATTGCAACATGATACAGAATGCTAGCTCACTGATGAGTTGTATTCAATGATCTGTGTTTGGATGGTTGCCAAGATTTGCACTAACCCCAGACAAAGATTGTTTTGTGTGTGTGTGTGTGTGTGTGTGTGTTGAAATGGTCACCTGCTTCTCATTTTTATATTGGGCTTAAATCTATAGGAAGAATTTTATGGAAGAAAATTGATTCTTGCTGATAGAGAAGAAGTGGAACAGGAAGCAGATAATATTTTAAAGGATGCTGATATCAGTGATGTCGCATTCCTTGTAGTTGGTGATCCATTGGGGTAAGTCAAAGCAGATATTTTGAGTTTTTAATTTATTTACTTTTTTAATCATTAAGAATTATTTTATTACATTCAAAACTTTACCTACTGGGTCCTGGTAGGGGACTTTCTTTACCTGGACTCTGTCTAAGATTTTGTAGTTTAAACTTTTGGTATCTTTGAGATTAATGAAGAAAATCCACTTGGGAAGAGCATTGTCATATGTACCACTTACATTGGTTGTTAAGTGTCAGCTCTCAAGTTTGCATCATTGCTTCTGCTGTGTTTTTAGAAAGTCACTTAGGGTGTTCAATAACCTAACTAGTATATCATTATTAAGTAAGTATATTACATTATCGAGAGTCATAGATTTTGCAGGTAAGTGCGAGTATCTTCTGCTTGCTTTGTCCTAGGATTCTCCCCCCCTTCTAAATCATCTACTGTTTAGCAATACTGCTGTTACTTTACTTGCCTTGCATTTATTATTTATCAAGACTCAGATTTTGATTTCTTATATCCATTGGGAGCGCTGCACTTCCTGGTTACTAAAAAGATGGGCTTCTACTTGTCTAGTCAAGCATCATTAATCTCTAATATCAAGCCAAACAGAAAAGTTCTTTGTCTCCAGCTGATGACCTAAGATTTGTATCACAGATTTAAGGAGCATAAGGACACTTAAATCACTATGAGCCCAAGGACATTTTTCAAAGCAGTGGAGTTACATATGCATGTATCTGTCAAAAAGAAAGTAATTCATATCAGTATGAGGTGCCAGAGATTGTGTATCATTATTACACTTGATTGCAAATGACACTGGGTAATCATACATTTAAAAACATTTCAATAGTTTGTTTTAGCCTCTGACATTGTTTTCTTTAAAGACCTTCCTCCAAATTATTAGCACCTATGGTCCTTTTTTTTTTTTAACACCACCAAATGGTAAAAAAAAAAAAAAGAAGGGTAATGAAAAATCCTATGTGTAAAATGTCTTGGCTCTCTTGTGGTCTTTTCTCATTATCTCACTGACTCCTGCCAAAATCCTGTGTTTACTATAGTGACACCTTCTGAACTTGCCAATCTCCTGGCTTGTTGGTATCACAACTCTTAGAGTCACCTAGATGAGTAATCTGAGTCACTTTTGACTTTCTTGATGTCCAGTCACTGACAAGGTCCAATAAACCAATGCTACTTGAAGTGAGATTTGCATACTGGTGCCAGCCCACAAACTTACTAGTCCACGATGAGATAACTACAAAAGTTGGAAGTAAACGTTAGAAACTTTTATAGCAGGTTTACAAGGTAATTTTTTTCTCTGCTGAATCTAATAATAAAAATTTGAAGCTTGTATTTTATATTATTTTATATTTAATTTTCCTAATGCTTTTTTTTTGCATTTTACAAAACTAATATTCCATGACAATTTAGAACTTTAAAAAAATATTGGCCTTTCAGCACAGTTTGAGAAACACTGCTACTGACTTTTCTTTTACGAAGTTTTTCCTATCCTTTCATTCCTTTCTACTCTGGCAGCCTCTGTTCTACCTAATCCAAGCCCTCATTATACTAGTTTAATACAGTAGCCTTTTACTTGGTCCAGGCATAGACTCTTAACTCATTGCTTAGGCTGTGGTCAAATTCGTGTTTGTAAAACCACAATTTTAAAATCTTACCTGGGCTCAAAATTAGATCATTATTAGCTCCATCATTGGCCAGACATGAAAAATACTGTCCAACCTGCTCTTCTGTTGGCGTCTTACCTCTTGTTCTGAAACCCACACTCATGCCAACCAGTTTGCCCTTCCCCAGTTATCATGCTTTCTAACTGTCACACATTTGTTCAAACTGCTTCCTTCATCTGTAATGCCTTTTGCCCCATTTCTGGCTGTCAGAAGGCTACCCATCTTTCAAAGCCCAACTTGGCGATGTAGTTCCTAATTACCCCAACCAGAAGTTATATCTCTTCCTAATTGCTGACATATTATTTATATTTATTTTCATATATTACCTCACAAAGTTTTTTATGTGTATATTTACTCTTAAGATTTGTAGGCTGTTTTGTTTTTATCTCTTTAGCTCCCCTTATAATACTTTGCTTATAGTAGACATCAGTTAAATATTTATTGATAGAGTTGTTAATATTATGCCTGAGATCATGACAAAGGAAGACCAGACATAGCTTAGACTGACATTTATCCATTCAGCAACTGCCTTTTGAACACCTATCTCATGACAGGTGCTCCTGCATGCTGCATATATATTAGATGATAAGACACGAGGTTTATAGTTTAGTAGGAGAGGCTGACAGCAGTTGAAGAAACAATAATAAGAATGATAGGTCTGTAAAGCCAAAAAAAATAGGGACTAACAGGAATAGACTAATTTATGCAGGGTCATATGGAAAATCCTTTCTGTGGAGGTGATATCCAAGCAGGTATCTAAAAAGTAAAGGGAATACAAAACAGAAACAGACTCACAGAGACAGAGGACAAACTTATGGCTTCTAGGGGTCAAAGGGATGGGAAGGGATAAATTGGGAATTTGGAAATTTGTACCTCTTGAGGGGCGATCAAAATGTTAGCGATCTTGATTGTGGTGGTGGTTTCATTGGTGTAAACATCTATCAGAATTCATCAAATTGTACATCTGAAATATGTGTAACTTACTGTACAGGAATCATACCACAATAAAGGTGTTTAAGAAAATAATAAAGGGAATGGTAGAAGGAAAGAACATTCTAAGCAGAGGGAACAGCAAGAGTATATTCAAGGAGCTGAAAAGTCAGTGGCTGGAGCACAGTTAGTGAAGGAAAAAGAGACATGAGGAGTTAAAGAGGTGGGAGCCAAAACGTGTAAGGCCTTGGAGGGAGGAAGGATTTTATTTGAAATACAGTGGTGACCTTTAAAGGTTTTAAGCTGCAGATAATCACAATCTCATTGATATTCTTAAAAGATCTCTTAAGTGCTTAGGAGAATAGATTTTAGGGAGACAAGGGTGGCTCTGGTGGAAGAAAGAAAAATACAAACTGGGAAAATTTTACAAGGAAAAATGCCAGGTCGTATATAGTTGATGAGGAAAAGGAAAGAAGTTAGTTTTCAAGGATTCTGGCTTTAGTAACTGAGTAGTTGGTGGTGCCATTTGTTGAAATGATGAAAATCAGCAGCAAAAAGGACTGGGGGAAGCAAGAATTGGTTCTGGAAACGTTTTAAGTTTAAGATGTCAGACAGACAGTTTGATACCTGCTACTGGAGCCCAAGCGAGGGGTTATCCTGGTTATACAGCTTTTTAATTCATCAATATGTAGATGATATATAAAGCTAGAGGAATGGGTGGAATCATTTTAGGAAAGAACAAAAGCCGGAGAAGACGACCTCGGCTCAGTCCCTAGGAAACTTTGGCAGTTCATGGTCTATCAGGAGCAGAGGAGGAGGAAAACCAATAGAGTGTTCTGTCACAGAAGCCAAAAAAAGATAATGTTTCAGAAAGAATGATCAGCTTTGATATACTGCTGAAAGGTTAAATAGAGGATGAAGATAGAAAAGAATGTGTAAATTTAAGGGCACATGTTTGGACTTAATTGCATGTGGCTTTATGAGGAGGTGGTGTTTGAGCGAGGTCTGGGTAGAGTTTATCAGGGCAAGATTGTGGGGTTGAGAGGTGGGAGTAGCTGAGGGAATGGAAGGGAAAATTCAATGTAAGTGAAAAAACTGGGGCCCGAAGAAAGTGCCTCAGTGCTGCTCAGAATCCTTCAGGGACTTCACGGCCTTAAATCTTTTAACAGTTTGTCTGCTTTTTCCTTTGGCTACTCTTTTTGACTGTGGCAGAGCTCAGTTGTATAACTTGTCATTTTACGAATGTTTTGCAATGTTTGTTCCCTGTGTCCTTATTCATGCTTTTTCCTTTAAACAGACTGTTCTTCCTGGTTTCTGTTTTGTAAAATAGTAGATTCTTTAAGGCCCAGCTCAGATGCCACCTCTTCCATGACTCCTCCCTTTTTCTTTCAGGAGTAAGTGCTTTTTTTTTTTTTTTTTAACTTTTAGACAGGTAATTTTCCCTGTGTCAGTGACTAAGCTTATATGGATCTGTGTATTCAGATTTATGTAATATTTACTGAATTGTAGTTATTTTTCATTTACCAACTGGATTATTATTGGGATATAGTAGTTGGAGACAGGGTGTTAGGGAACATACAAAATTTTATTTGGGCCTTGAAGAATTAGAATTTGAGTTAATTATAGATAAACCAGGAAGAGAATCCAGCATGCAACAAGGCACTGAAGTTCTTCCTTATATGTGGCCAAAAATAGATGCACTTTGTTTAATTTTAAGCCCCCTCCTACTTGTTTGAATGAAAAATTCAAAAAGAAGGGAAAATTGTTTAGTCAGTCTTAAAATTCTTTTTTCTAATATTTTACGAATTTTCTAATATGTAAGAATTCTAATATTTTAAAAATATAAAGTATTTATAAAACAGACCTTTTTAACCATTTTTAAATGTACAGTTCAGTGGCATTGAGTACATTCACATAGTTGGGCATCCATCAGCAGCAGCCATCCCCAACAATCTTAAACTCATGAAGAGGGCAATTGAAAGTCAGTTAAGTCAGTTGGTGTGGTTCTCATCTTTGCCCTTTTATCTAGGTTATTAAAAGGAATGTGGGAGTTAATCACATAAAGAATGTAAATGAGTCTAAAAAAATACTACATCAATAGATCTGACTCAGTCATGTGAGAGATGATAGTCTTAAGCTTTCCATCCCCATAAAGAGCAGTTGAACAGGGTCATCATTAAGCGGATTCTTTCTTAAGATGATTCCTTTTTTTATTCCATTCTGTATTTTGATGTGCTCTGTAACTGTATGTGTTTCATAATAAGTGTACACATGATTTTTTTATCTTTATATTCTGTGCCTTTTCCTTCATGGCACGCACGCACACACACACACACACACACACACACACACACACACACACACACAAACAAGTGTACCTTTGTTCACTTGTGTCTTCTGTGCCTCAGTTATGGGCATTTGATTGCTTTCATTCCATATAATTAACGTGTTTGAACAGTGTCCAATACACTTAAGCATTATTATCATTAGTCCATTTTTTTTTCTCAAACATAAAGTTGTCATGCATGGATTAAAGCATATGATCCTTACCCCCCCCTTACTTTCTTATTGTCGTTTTTTTGGATTGTTTACTAATGATAGACTCTCCAAAATAGGTTTATAATATCAAAAAATCAAAAGTTTAGGACATGGACATTTTCAAGCGTATATTGTCAAATTAACTTTTCAAAAGGATTGTACCAATTTATAGTGCTTCCAGTAGTTCATAAAAACACCATTTTTATTACAAATATTAGTGAATTTTCAGATTACCAGCCATACCTCTGTCAAATATGGTGATACCATGTCTGCAAATTAGTATTATTTAAAATAAAACTTAAACATACCAGGCTTTATACATTCAAATTGGTCACCTTTATGTACTTTATTTCATTGATTCCATTGATCAGAACATTCTTGAATCTTCTCTTTTATAAATGCCTTCAGAGCAATTCCCAGTAACAAGCATATTATTAAGAAACATTTATTAGTATTTCTGGGCATGTGACTCTACCTAGAATCATATGTGTGTATGTATATGTAAAATAAATACAATTTTGGATAGGGCCACATGCCCAGAAATAGTAATAAATTTGTCTTTACACACACACACACACACACACACACGCTCTTTCCCATTCACCATAATGAAGCATTTTCATGCGCCACAGACTGGGAGCAATGCCCAATATAAGGATGTTAAGTCCTTGTTTCATACCTTTTTTTCTTTTTTATGAAGCAATATAATCTAGGTAATTGTGATGATAAAATACCAATTTTATCACAATTTTTCATAGCAGAAATCTGAGGGGCTCATTTAATCACATTTATAGCAGTTTCACAAAATCAAATCACTTTGCCAGGTCATTAAATCTTCATAGTACACCACCACATCTGGTCATTTTAAATGAATTTGTGATAAAGAGAGGTATAATTTTAAATCAGTTTTTCTTTCTGCTCATCTGTTTAAATAACTCACCAAGAACTAATTCCGTTTTCCTTAATCTTAGTGTTAAGTAGTGAGATTCTGTTGAAAGTGATATTAAAAACAATTCTTTACAACTGGCATTTATATTATTTTTTAAAAGCTTACTCTAAATCAACTTAATGATTGTTTTTATAGTAGTTTTTATTTTATGTGTGTGATTAAAAACAGACTTCCCTGGTGGGCACTTGTTAATCTGTTTCTGACTGCCTCGTGGGGTGAGAGCCCTTGATCTTCCTACTCGGTGTGCACTGACCAGTTGGCAGGTTCTGCTCATTTGTATGTAGTTTCTCAAACATGCTAATGTTGCTTTCCCCAGTAGGGCCTGGAGTTTTCATCAGGGGAGAAAAAGGCTTTAATAATGCAGTCCTAAATTGATGTGGGGTTACCTTTCACGGTATCCATATTTATATTTACATGTATTCTCTCTTTACCCCAATCTATCTAATTATAATCACCAGATCTGTCTCAAAAAAGGGAAGGCAGCAGGCAGAATAGGCACACACGTACACATGCTAATTATACACAGTGACCAGACTGAAAACAATGATAAATAAAATAAGATGACTGCAAGACCGATGTAAAACCCAACTTGGAATGTGTCTGCTACCACTCTAATGTTAAGGCAAAGATGGAGAGGCTCTGAAATGTCTGTCAATTCTGCCTTGTATAGAAACAGTCTTCAGAGTAGGAGCAGACATCAAGGAGCAGATCCAGTTGTGCTGTGATCTGGAACTCTACCGCAGTGGTGTTAACGGTTTAAAGGGATCCTAAGACCAACAAGTTTAAGAACTGCTGCGGAAGAGTTCAGCTGCTGAGCTTATAGTCCACAGATGTTTCATGCAGGTGTTAATAGGACAAGAAGAGCAAGTTAAAACTCTTTTTTTCTGTAGCTTCCAAGGCTCCTTTAAGAGTGTTCAAGGTGCAGTTCAACATTGTTAAAGGGCATGTTGTAAACCTTCTTGCCGGGGAGCCCAGATGAAGGCCTTACGCATGCACCTCGAAGTATTTGAGGAAAAGCAGTGTCCTTGACCCTTTGCCTTGAGCTCATGAAATGTTATATGTAGCTTTACTGTCTTAAAAAATTAGCCTTAGTTAGTTTAATCCAACTTGATCTTTTTTCAATGCAGGGCTACAACACACAGTGATCTTATTCTGAGGGCAACAAAACTGGGAATCCCTTATCGAGTTATTCACAATGCTTCCATAATGAATGCTGTAGGCTGCTGTGGTTTACAGGTAATACTACAAAATAACTTTTTTTAAAAATGGTATTTAGCAAAAATTTTTTCCTATAGATTTTATTATATTTCATGAATTATAAGATACTGTTTTATATAGTATTGTGTATTAAGTTTTTAATACAGATTTTTACACTAATTTTCCTTTAGCTCAGATTGCAACCCCCACTGAAATTTAGCTAGAGAAAAGTTTTAATCTTCTGTCCAACTTGTGCATACACAAAAGGGAATATAACCCAATTAAACTGGTTAAGTATTCCTAAAACCTTTTTACATTATTCCAAGTGACTTCCTCTGCATTGCTGAGGCCCATGTTTTTCCACTCAGTGTTGTTTTCTATGCCATCAAGAGCACCATGATACAGCATTTCTTAAAATGATCCATAAAAGAGCTAAAAGCCATTATAGGCTTTTAAGCCAGCTGTGCAATTGCTGATGTGTAAAGTTAGTTGTTTTTAACCTAAAAATCTTGGTTCTGAGGAGTTAAAACAAAGTTCCATAATTGTGTTCAATATTTTCTTCCAAGCTGCTGGCATTCATTTTCCAAGTTTGATATTTGTGTTCTGATGTTCCACATATATACTCCATGACAGTTATGACTGCTTATGGCCAACAGTAATTTTAAGACTTCATTGATTGTTAAGACACGTTCCTATTTCAGATATAATAGGAAAAAATTTGCATCTTAGAATCTATGAAATAATGTATTTCCCAGTATACCTTCCTGGAATGCATTATTTAAAGTAGCTGTTTATAGCAAGATGCTACGTTAGCATTGGTACCTAATGTTATGTCTGTAGCTTTAGAGGGACCTATGTTTTCTGTACCACCTAGGAAGACTTTCTCACTTTAATTGACTAATCCGGGCCAGTCATCTCAGAAATATGCCTTTGGTTCTGAGAACCAGAGAAAAAGTATAAATGATTCACCTTTCAGTATTCATTACTTGTTCTTAGTTACAGCTATGTTTAAATTGGCAAAGAATTTTGCTGTCTATTTTGTCTTCTAATAAAATGCATACTTAAAAAAAATCTTGCCAATTCAAGTCTTTTTTACACAAAATTTTTTCTGAACATTTCTGTGTTGGAATAAACTGAATTCTTGACTCTCATATTCTTGATTGATTCTCAGTCCAATAGTCTTTCCTCTAGATAATGCTACCATTTAAGAATGATTTCCAGGGGGAGGATATAGCTCAAGTGGTAGAGTGCATGCTTAGCATGCATGAGGTCCTGGGTTCAATCCCCAGTGTCTCCTCCAAAAATAAATAAATAAACCTAATTACCTCCTCCCCCCAAAAAGTAAATTAAAAAAAATTTTTAAAAAAATGATTTCCAGAAGAAAGGAAAAAAGAGAGGAATAAATTACCATGTGATAGACAACAATGTATAAACTTGAAAGCTAATGGGCTGATTTTTTTCATATTGGTTTTATTCTTATTTCTAGTGAAGACAGCCCCTTTCTGTCATACTTTAAATTATCTTATGATAATTATTATTGAAAGTTGTTACTTCTCTTTAAGCATAACATTTTTAAAAGATCTTTGTCTTTATTATGTAAATGTAAATCTGTTATCTGGATTGGCTAAAGCTAGGCTGTGGTGACCCTGTGATCCTCTGCACTGATAGAGAGGTACAGCGTTATTGTTCACGTGTTTAAAATGGGTAAAGGTACTATGAGAAGTGACAGACTCCATGCGTATAAGCCCCTAAGATCAAATCGTATCCAATTTACATATATTATTTTTTTTAATTTAGCTTTCTCTTAGTTTTATATGGGATTTCTCCAAGCGGGCACAAAGCAACTGTTTCCACATCTTGATTCTCTTCTCTAATCTGGATATGAAAAGACTTACTACTTGCATGAAAAACAGGAAGTGCCTTTTTATTTTCTGTCATATATTGATGAAATCTCTGTGTAAGTATAATTCTTATACCACTCAAGTTATTCATATCCCAAGAGGAGAAGGTAATTATTGATTTTCTAAGATAAAAAGCATTAAAAATAATTATATGCTTGGCACACTTAAATTTTAAAATAAACTTGTGGGTATCCTGCATAATGTAAAAATTTTGGTGAAGTCTCCTTCCTTGTAATAGCTGACCTTTTTCTCTTTACTATTTGGCTGACATTTATGGAAAAAAACAGTAACCAATACCAGTGGTTCTCAGACTTTAGTATTATCAGAATCACTTAGAGGGATTATTAAAGTTTGCTGGGCCTTCCCCTCAGGTTTTCTGATACGGTAGATCTGGATTAGGGGTCTGAGAATTTGCATTTCTAGTAAATTCCCAGGTGATGCTCAAGCTGCTGGTACAAGCACTACACTTTGAGAACCATCAACCTAGACAGATAAAAATTTTTTCAGAAAGTTAGAGTTATGCTTTCTTTTATACATTCTTTTAGTATAGCAAAATTGAAAAAGTAGATTTTAGTTCCCGGAAATATGCTTGCTAATTCTAGAATGGTAACAGGTTACCTTGCTATGCTCTCTTGCTCAATTTTTAAAAAGGGAAGTGGGCACCACTTACGAAAGATATTCGGTCATCTCATCTCCCATGAGTTTAAAAACAGCCATGGAGTGATTAAAGAGAAGTGCTACTCTGGGTATGATGACAGACCTGAACAGTATATGCTTTCTTCCTAACCTAAAAGCGGGTACAAATTTTTTAAACTATCAATTTATCAGCCTCTTTTGAACTCTCTTTTTGTTTTTTTTTGGTATTTAAAGCAGCATAGAGCGTTTAGAATCAACCACTGAGTATTTTTTTTACCTTTGTAGTATATTAGCCAACAGAAGACTCTTGATTATCAGTATTAATGAAGGTAAGTAGTTGCTTAGATGAACCCTTCTACACACACATACACACACACACACACACACACACACGGCATTTTATTGCAGGCATTCTATAAAATATAATTCCTTACCACAAACTCCATTTTCCTAATGAATTTTTTGTTTTTTCGTTAAATGGAAAGTATATTAGAGGCTCCCAAGTTAGACGTCATTAAGTGGAATAATGATCCATTTATTCAACAAATAGTGTTTGCCTTCTTATTGTTTGCCTAGTAAGTGTCTTTGGAAACAGTGATAAACCTGACCAAGAAGGTGTCTGCTCTCAAACAATTCTAGTAGGAAAGAGAGGCAATAACAAATAAAAAAATAAATGTCAGATAGTGGTAACTCTATTCAAGTAGACGGATAGGTTAGACCGTGACTAGGTCACTGCTACAGTTGGCTGGTCAGGGTAGGTCTCTCAGGGCAGTAATACTTAAGATTAAATATGAATCAAGGAACAACCATGTCCCAGGCAGAGTTCGTACAGAGGCCCTAGGGTGGAAATGAGCTTGGCTTGTGAAGGGAACCAAAGGAAGGCTGGCTGGAGAGTAGCAGGCAAGGGGAAGAGTGATCTGAGGCTGGATATGTAGGTAACATTGGATCACTAGGTTGTCTAATTCAACATCAGGAGTTTGGATTTTATTCTAAGTGATATACACTACCTGCCTTCAGAGGGGTTTAAGCAATGCAAATGCTTGATCTTGTAAGTGTTTTTAAAAAAATATCTCTTGCTAGTATATGGAGGTTGAATTGCTGCCAGGCAAGATTGGAAGTGAGGAAATCAATTAGTAGGCTTATTGCAGTCCTTTAGAGGAGAGATGACGGAGGCCTGGACTGCATGGAGAGGGTGAGGTATGATAGAAGATCAAAATGAGTGGAGGTGTAGGAGCGGTGTCTGTGAAGAGAACTGAGGTTTAGGCAGATGTAGAGAGCCATCTCTGCCTTACTGATAATCCTTGGAAAGGAAATGGACTCTATATGCTAGTGGATCCTTTCCTACCATCTCCACTGTCATAATTCTTATGGTTCGTATCCCCATAGACTTGTCCATGGGGCTGGACCCATCTAGCACTATTGGCCCAGTTTTTTCTCATTTTGATTGGTGTTGTCATTTCTAGAAAAGTTATTTCCTGTCCTAAGAACCCTGTGCCGGTCTTGCTTTGCTTTCGAGGACCATTATCAGTGTTGAAGAGTAGGGCTTGGGATTGGGTTTCTCTTACTCCCAGATTCTTGAACTCCTGGATACTTACCTGAGGTCTCCTTTTATCTTACGAAGAATTAGTAGTCATGGCATAGATATACGTAGATTAAGTTTATGTATGTTAAATGAAAGAAGTGAGACACAAAAAAACACATATCTTATGATTCCATTTACATGAAGTGTCCAGGAAAAGCAAATCTATAGAGACGGAAAGCAATTAGTGGTTGGCTGGGGCTGGGGATGAAAACAGGAATTAACTGTTAATGGACGTAAGGGATCCAACTGGAGTGATAAAAATTTTCTTAAACTTGATATAGTGATGGTTGCACCTAACTTGGTGCAATTCACTAAAATCATTGCAGGTATAGTTCAAATGGGTGAATATTATGATATATAAATTATACCTCAATAAAATGGTTTAAAAAAGGAATTACAGGAAGTATGCTAGATGGAAAAGAAGACAAAAGATATTCCCAGCAGAGAGAAATGTACAGTTAAAAAGAGAGTCATGAAAGTGCTTGGAGAATCTGCAAGGTATTACAGAAACACATAAATGAATACATACATACGTAGCACAGAAACCTTGGCAATCTAGAGATCAGTTAACACAAGACTGAAATATGTCGCATAAAAAACTGCCTACATATTGGGGGAAGAACTAGTAACAGAAAAACAATGGATATAATGGAAAAGGTTTAAAGTTTAACTGCAAATTGAAAGGTCTTGTTTTTACTTTTTGCTCAGGCTATAACGGAGTCATCTAACTTTTCTGGATCTCTTAAGTTTCTTAACCACAAGGGGATGAGGTGCAAACAGAGAGGAATGTTGGACAAGATCAGTGGTTTTCAAAGTGCACCACGATTTATGAAGCTGCTTTAGGGTTCTGCTGATAATAAAGTAGTTGACACCAAAACACGAAGAGAAAATCCCTGAAGAGCCCTGCCATTATCTTCAAC